GTTATATGAGACGTAATTTCTGTGGGCTTCTAATATATATATTTTTATCAATAAAATAAGTAAAACTTTATTATGCAAAGTACAAGGGGTATTCCAATCTATTTACAAAATTAGAATACAATCAATGGAAACACAATTAACGTAATGAGCTTTTCCAGCAACTTCTACTACTATACCTGTCCCTTTTGGTGCTTCCAATCACAAAATGAAAATACACACCCCTGCACTTTATTCTTGATCTAGAAGTAAGTCTTTGCCTGTACCATATCCAACAACCCCTCCCTAGAACCCACATCCCCCCTTAAAACTCTACAATTCCTTCAATACCATATATACCATGATGTAACAAGAAAAATACATGCTCCCAATTCCTTTCCCATCACCTTACCCAAACCATACAAGAAAAATTCTGTTACCCCCACCAATATATTTGGCAACACCACCTCAGTACCCCACCAAGATAGTACCTTAACCCAAATTAACCAAGCTTCCTTACATGTACAAAAGACATGATTAGACTCTTCCACCTCCTCATTACACAAACCACACATTAAGTCCCCCTCCAACACCACCCTTCTTTTTTGCAAACTCCACTTTGTTGGAAGTCTCTCAAGACATAATCACCACCCAAAGAAATTAACTTTAGAAGGTACCAATTGACACCAAATTAACTTATATATATAATTGTCTATTCTCTTTCATATATACCCTATTAATCATAGCAGGGATTCCAACCCAAAAAACAACACGAATATATATAATTTTTTTCCCTTTGTTTATTAGTACATGAATAAGTCTTGCAGCCAAGCACCGTTGGATTTATCTGATTAATCAAAATGAAGCGACAGCAAAATTAGATTTACTAATTAGATATGGAGAGCCCACGAAGCAGCTAGAAGATTACATTTGGGAATGCATAGGCTTAGTCTAATTAAGGTAACCATGGCTATAAGAAACAAAATAAGCAACGGTCATCCAAATATATTGATTCATGTGGAAAGAACGAAAGGGCAAAACAACCCAAGACAGTGTTAGGTGAAGATAACTTGATCACTCCTATACCTAATTAATTGAAATGATGTGAAATACATATGTGGTAGATGGAGGTGGTCCAAACATGAATTTAACATGCAAAATTTTGCCCAGTCTTTACTTTATATTTATGCCCCTTCTGCTATTGGAATTGGAAGGGACGGTACTGTTTCCAACTTATCATTGTCGCTTTGTTGTTCATAGTCCATACGGTTTATAGAGCGACGAGTTCAAAAAGTGGAAAACGAATTATTTGGACATGATTTTTGTTTTTCCTTTTATTCTCAACCACTATGTTCTACTTTCAACATAATAAATTAGACTTTTGAAGTGGTGTTTGTAACACGGCATTGACTGTCTTGGAGAAAACAAAGACAGATCAAGCTTATTAATTAGGACCATTAGGATCAACCATGGGGATCAATACTATTTTGCTCTCGGTAATGTAATTTGAAATTACGTTAAAAGTACTCATTGTTGGATCGAGAGTAGTAACATTTTTGGATCTATGACAGTGTCATATTTAAGTAATCTAAATAAAGCATCTACAAGCTAGCAGTCGGTTGGGCAGGGTATGCAATTTGTAATAAGTTTTAGCGACCTAGTACTGTTGGTATCTGGCATTGATCTAGGCAAGACGCAATTCCAATGATAAAGTTAAAGTTTTTTTTTTTTTTTTTTTTTGGTAACTTGATTAAGAAGACAAAAGGAAAACAATATATGTACAGCTTTATATAACGTTTTGTCAGATTTAGTATTTGATTTCTATCGTTTGGATCAAAAAGAGAAATGTTGTAGATATATTCCAGGCCTCCAGAGATGACTTTTCATCAGAGAATCATCCCAGTTTTTTATGTGAAACAAAAGGACATTAAAGACAGAGAATCGTCCCAGTCTAGGGCAGCCCATGTGCCCAAATCTTCAAATTTAAAAGAAATCAATGCACTCTTTCGTAAAAAATAGCATACCTTTGTCCTTAATTCCCAGTTACTGTCCCAATAATTAATTCCTAAAATTTACAGTTTGTTGAGACCTTTTTCTGCACAAACCGGACAGCAAGGCCAGTGTTACGTGCATGTGCTTCTTTTTCTTCATTGGGGTCGGGGACAGGGTTGATATTTTGGTACGGATACCTACATTATTTGTAAGTATTTAATTGATTAAGATAGGTATTGTTCTTAAATTGTAAAAAAATCAGGTAAATAATAGTTAGAAAAGAGAATACTTATAATAAAAATGAAGTCAAATAATAGGTGTAGTGATTGAAAACTGTTTACTTAACTTATTGACATGATTTGTTTAATTGCTTTGTTATTTATAATTTACTTGATATTTTTATTATATAAAATTGAAGTATACTCATATAATAGTAATAATTATTATTTTTTAAAATTATTATAATCATATATTTCTTAGTTATCATTATTTATTGTAGAATTGTTCCTTGGTTTTAATTTGGATTTAGTAAGTTGGAAAATATATACTTTAAGATTGTCTTTTATTTTTTTTTTTAAATATAATTTGATGACTCCTTTTATTTGTGTTTGGAAAGGGATTTTGCTTGATTTCTCTTTTTTATAATTTAATTTAATTTATTTCTCTCATTTTGTATTATAATTTGGTTGAATAGATGGTTTAGTTTGAAGATTTCAAATTGACTCAGGCTTTGTTTGTTGGAGAATACTTTTCCATGTTTTAATTTTTGATTTTTATATTTTTTTATTATTTCAAAA